AAAAAAAAGTGATCCTCAATTCATACCTTCATACCTTGTACCATATACAAAAATTAGCTCTAAATGAATCATAGACCTAATAGAAGAAAAGGTATAAACAAAATCTTTGTGGCCTTACATTAAGTAAAGATTTCTTACTATAACATCAAAAGCATGATCCAGAAAGAAAAAAAGCTAAATTGTACCTAATAAACTAAAATCTTCTGCTCTTCAAAGCATACTGTTAAGAGAATTAAAAAAAAAAAAAGACACATACTTGGATAAAACACTGGTAAATAATTTATCTCATAAAGGACTTATAAAAGTATATATACTTTAAAAACTTGTATAACTCCGTAATAATTAGACAATAACTCAATTTTTAAAAATGATTTAAACAGACAATTCACTAAGGATATAGGATGGCAAATAGGCACATGACAAGATGCTCAATAATATTAGTCATTAGATAAATGAAAATTAAATCATGAGATATCACAATATATCAGAATTACTTTTTAAAAATTGACAATACTGGCAAGAATGCAGACAAGAACTCTCAGTTGTTACTGGTGGGAATGCAAATTGTCACAAACATTTGCAAAAGAGTTTGGCAGTTTCTTAATTTAGTTAAACACACACTCAGTAATCCTACTCCTAGATATCATCCCAAGTGAAATGCAAACTTATATTCACATAAAAACCTACATGTGAATATATACAGTTAACTTCATTCATAACTCTTTAAAACTGCTAACTGCCCAAATGTTTTTCAACTGGAGAAAGGATGAACAAAATAAATTGTGGCACAACCATACAATGGAATACTAGTCAACAATAAGAAGGAACATGCAACACATGGATGAATCTCAGTATAATAATTCATACATATGAAATTCTGGTAGAGGCAAAACAACAGGAACACAAAACTGATCAGTAATTGTCAGAGATTAAGAGAGGGACTACAAAGAAGCACAAAGGAATTTGGGGAAAGGGGAGTGATGGAACTATTCTATATGTTTGTGGTTATGGTTACACAATTATATATATTCATCAAACCTCATAAAACTTTCTACTAAAAGAAAAGTAAATTTCACTGTATGTAAATTATACCTCATTAAAAAAAGTTAATCATAAAAGATATAACAAAATATCTACTAAAAGTAATCAATACATGGTAAAGTAGTAGTTAACAAAAACTTGGACATGGTTAAGACAATAGATGTATTATTTTCTAAACAGTAATAAAAAAGAAAATATACAGCAAAATATGCAAATGCAAAATGAGATTAAAATATTTTCTCCAATTGTTCAAATTACAATGCAGTATTAGGTTCTTTTGGCTCTTGCTATGTGGAAACTGTAAATTATAATTCTTTTCTAAACAACAGAATCTCTGTTACTATATTACAAGCAGCATATGGATTCTGCCAAAACAGAGATCTCCTAGAATTAATAAAAGTATGGCTTAAGAAGGCTGTTAGAATTAACTATTTATGGATGGCAACAGATGCAAACTGCTAGTGCACTAAGTAACTGCCAAAACCACGGATAAGAGCATGGGGCAAGGAGGTACAATGACAACATGAACAAAATAAGAAACGATTTGTCCAACAAAGTTTGAGAATGTTAATCCCCCCCTCGCCCCCACAAATGGAGACATTACTCAACTCATGGGGTTGGGAGGATATCTACACTAATAAAAGAGAAACATGTTAATTAGCGTACGACCGCTACCCTTCCCATTGGCTAATCAGCATATCCTTATGCAAATTAACTGTCAGCCAAGATGGTGGCCGGCAGCCATGCACTGAAGCGAACAGGGAGGCTTGCTTGCTCCAGTGACTGCGGACTCCAACGTTCCCCGCCTGACTTGCCGCCTCTCAGCTGCAACTCTAAGCAACTATGTTGCAAATATAGAAGCTAAACAAAACCCCAGA